TACAGCTTTTTTTTTTTTTTTAACAAACCTGTCTGGGACTGTGTAGTCATTGCGTAATAGTACAAGTATGCTTTGATTGTTGTTACTAGTAAAAAGCAAAGAATAAGCAGATATCGGGCAGTATAGCCAGTACTAAAACGTAGGTAGAAATGGATAATTTATACTGTTGGCATGGGAGAATCAAGTATTCTGGGGGCTATGCCATCAGTGCCAGAGACAGAAGGGAAGCCTGTCCATTCATGTGTTAAGTATCAGAGGGGTAGCCGTGTTAGTCTGAATCTGCAAAAGCGACGAGGAGTCCTGTGGCACCTTATAGACTAACTGAAGTGTAGGAGCATAAGCTTTCGTGGGCAAAAACCTACTTCGTCAGTTGCATTCCTTTTGATGTTGTTTGTGAATTTAACCTGGATACAATTTTGGGAAGTTAATTATAGTTAACACCAGGAACACTTGGTTTCACCCAAAGACTTTTCTATCTAATTTCACCTGATGTGTGCATCTGATTGTTTAAGTAAACCTGGTCTTGGTGTGTTTTTAGCTTGTTTCAGTTGCAGGTCTTTATACTAAGTGTTGCTAATTCACCAGAGAGAGAAGTTGTCTCAGTTGCAGGGGTTTACATTATCCATCCTTTGCTGAGGAAATAGTGCTAAGAAGTTGCATTGTAAGAGATAAGTCTATTCAATAAACAAGTACCTAGCTTTGGAATTCTGCCTTACTCCTCTGTGCACAAAATCCTTGACTGAGAATGTTCCACTACCTGGTACTAAGTGTTGCTAATTCACCAGAGAGAGAAGTTGTCTCAGTTGCAGGGGTTTACATTATCCATCCTTTGCTGAGGAAATAGTGCTAAGAAGTTGCATTGTAAGAGATAAGTCTATTCAATAAACAAGTACCTAGCTTTGGAATTCTGCCTTACTCCTCTGTGCACAAAATCCTTGACTGAGAATGTTCCACTACCTGGCAAATCTGGAGGAGTGCATTTCCAAGGAATGTTGATCCTTTCTGCTTTGGGTATTTGTTAAAGGAAGAGAGATGCTCCTACTACAGGATCTGAAGGTACAAGTTAACTGAATGCAGTCATTACAGGATCCCTTTCTCAGTTTGTGTCACTGAAAATACCCACTGTAACTAAGCAGTGCTAAAATAACTCTCCAAAAAGGATCACTGAAACAAAATGACTGATGAGGGAGCAAATCATTTTGTTAGCATTGTACTCCAAGGAAAACTCTTATCTCTAGGGATGGTAACTGCAAAATTCTGATTCTAGGGAGGGCAGCAGGTTGTGATCTAGAAAGAATAATGCATCTTTAAGGAATGATTTGTTTTCTTTCTCAGGCTGCTGAAGGTAAAGCCCGAGGAACGGCTGACTATAGAAGGAGTCCTGGATCATCCCTGGCTAAACTCCACTGAAGCGCTTGATAACATTTTGCCCTCTGCCCAACTGATGATGGACAAGGTTTAGATAACATTTTATCATTTCAAAAAGGTCAAGTCTAGAAAGGGGCCACATTGATGTTTAAGCATTCTTTTTTAAAACTGTCCTGCATATTAAGAGCTCAGAGATTGATGACCTTCATAAAGACAAGGAGAATTTTTCTTCAACCAAAAAGTTTCATTTAAAATTGGGCTAGAAAGAAAATGCTTATCAGCTGTAAAGAGCAAAGCTGACCTAGTGAGGCTTAGTAAGAGATGGACAGTTGTAGTAAATATGACCTATTTGGCCCCTTCTGCCTCTAGGAGCTTTGCTCACTTCAGTATTGCATCCTTTTCCTCCTTTGTTTACCCTGGATCTGCTGCTGAGGGTTGATTGGCAATTGGGTCAGCTGTGTGGTCTTTCAGTGATTTACGTGGAAAACCCATTTACACAAAGCTGATTGTACACTCTGGTGTCTAAGAGTGTGGAGGTTAGAGATGGAAAAGGACCATTAGATGTAGTCCATGCCTTTGCAAGGTCAGGATATTCTCCCCACTTGGTCATTGTGCAGTACTGAATTGGTCTTATGTAGCACAAGCCTGATTTTATTGTGCATCTCTGAAATGTGTACAGGATTTGTAGGTACTGTTTTTGTTCTGGCTTATATTGGCCTTTTATACACAGAGGAATTAATTAAAACTTTGTGTAACTTTTTCCATTCCAGGCAATGGTTGCTGGGATACAGCAGGCTCATGCAGAGCAGCTTGCTAACATGAGAATCCAAGACCTCAAAGTCAGCCTCAAACCCCTACACTCTGTCAACAACCCAATTCTGCGCAAGAGGAAATTGCTAGGGTAACTTTCTTAACATTTTTAATGGTTTTTTTTCCCAATCTAATCATTCCTAAGTGTCTGAAGCCATGGTGCTTCAGTCGTTTAACACTTAAACCTCTGTTAAGGTTTGTTGACTGAAATTCCTAAAATGTCTGGTTGGTTAGCTAGTTCCTATTTCCTGTGCTGAAGCATCTGAAGTCAAAACTAATAATGATAATCCATGTATGGCATGCTGTGTTTTCACAGTTCCTGCCAACACCTCTGTGAGGTAGGAAAATGGTGGCATTATCCTCATCTTGTATATCGTGAAACTGTGGCAGGTAGGAGCAGCAAAATGACACCCAACAAGTCAGAGGCAGAGCCCAGTTTTGACCTCTCATATTTGAGTTCTGATCCTATTCTTATTTTTCTAGGCCAGGGGTTCTCAAACTTTGAGTCACGGCTTATTCCTGCCAACACCTCTGTGAGGTAGGAAAATGGTGGCATTATCCTCATCTTGTATATCGTGAAACTGTGGCAGGTAGGAGCAGCAAAATGACACCCAACAAGTCAGAGGCAGAGCCCAGTTTTGACCTCTCATATTTGAGTTCTGATCCTATTCTTATTTTTCTAGGCCAGGGGTTCTCAAACTTTGAGTCACGGCTTATAAGCCTCTGGGAGCTGCAAGCAGCCATGTCTGAAGACACTCAGGTAAACAAAGCATACAAGCCACAACCCAAAGTTGGAAAACTCCTGCTTTGGATCATGCTGTTAATCTTTACTAAATAGTTTTTGTCACCGTAATCTTTAGCCCTGTTTATTCCTTTTTGCCTTAATCAGATCCTTGATTTTAAAAAAATCTTTTTCATTCTCCTGGCAAAGGAACATTATCAGTACATAGTGAAATACATCAATATTGCAGGGCACAGGATGAGTCTGAAATCTAGTCTGAAGAAGAATCTTTCTTAGTTCTGGACTTCAAAAAGCTATTGGTCAGTCCTGCATATATTTTATAGTTAGAGCTAAATAGCAGCACAAAAGTTCAAAGATTCATATCACAGCAGGGCACAGGCTATCCAATAAGTTTCTGTACTGCATTGGAGACAACTTTCTATTTCAGAAGGTTGAAAAAGCTACCAGAGGAGAAGCTGTTCTGGATTTGGTTTTAACAAATAGGGAGGAACTAGTTGAGAACTTGAAAGTGGAAGACAGTATAGGGGACAGTGATCACGAAATAATAGAGTTCATGATCTTAAGGAAAGGTAGAAGGGAGACCAGCACAATTGAGGTAATGGATTTCAGGAAGGCAGATTTTGATAAGCTCAGAGAACTTGTAGGTAAGGTCCCATGGGAAGCAAGACTGAAGGAAAAAACAACTGAGGAGAGTTGGAAGTATTTCAAAGGGACGTTGTTAAGGGCCCAAAAGCAAACAATTCCGCTGTGTAGGAAAGATAGAAAATATGGCAAAAGACCAGCTTGGCTTAACAAGGAGATCTTGCACAATCTCAAAATAAAAAAGGAGTCATATAAAAAATGGAAACTAGGACAACTAACAAAGGATGAATATAGGCAAGCAACACGGGAATGCAGGGGCAAGATTAGAAAGGCAAAGGCACAAAATGAGATCAAACTAGCTACAGGCATAAAGGGAAACAAGAAGACCTTTTATAAATACATTAAAAGCAAGAGGAAGACCAAGGACAGGGTAGGCCCACTGCTTAGCGAGGAGGGAGAAGCAGTAACAGGGAACTTGGAAATGGCGGAGATGCTCAATGACTTCTTTGTTTCGGTCTTCACCGAGAAGTCTGGAGGTGTGCCTAACGTAGTGAATACAAGCAGAGAGAGGGTAAGTTTAGAAGATAGGATACACAAAGAACAAGTTAAAAATCACTTAGGAAAGTTAGATGTCAGCAAGTCACCAGGTCCTGATGAAATGCATCCCAGGATACTCAAGGAGCTGATAGAGGAGGTATCTGAGCCTTTAGCTATGATCTTTGAAAAATCATGGCAGACAGGGGAGATTCCAGAAGACTGGAAAAGGGCAAATATTGTGCCCATCTATAAAAAGGGGAATAAGAACAACCCAGGAAACTACAGACCGGTCAGTTTAACGTCTGTCCCAGGGAAGATAATGGAGCAGGTAATTAAGGAAATCATATGCAAACACTTGGAAGGTAATAAAGTGATAGGGAATAGCCAGCATGGGTTTGTGAAGAACAAGTCATGCCAAACTAATCTGATAGCTTTCTTTGATAAGATAACGAGCCTTGTGGATAAGGGAGAAGCGGTGGATGTCATATACCTAGACTTTAGTAAGGCATTTGATACGGTCTCGCATGATATTCTTATTGATAAACTAGGCAAATATAACTTAGATAGGGCCACGATAAGGTGGGTGCATAATTGGCTGGATAACCGTAGTCAGAGAGTTGTTGTTAACGGTTCTAAATCCTGCTGGAAAGGGATAACAAGTGGAGTTCCTCAAGGGTCTGTTTTGGGACCCATACTGTTCAACATCTTCATCAATGATGTAGATATTGGGATAGAGAGTACGCTTATTAAGTTTGCAGATGATACCAAACTGGGTGGGGTTGCAACTTCTTTGGAGGATAGGGACATAATTCAAAATGACCTTAGCAAGTTAGAGAAATGGTCAGAGGTAAACAGGATGAGGTTTAATAAAGAGAAATGCAAAGTGCTCCACTTAGGAAGGAACAATCAGTTCCATACATACAAGATGGGAAGCGACTGTCTAGGAAGGAGCATGGCAGAAAGGGATCTAGGGGTCATAGTGGACCACAAGTTGAATATGAGTCAACAGTGTGATGCTGTTGCAAAAAAAGCAAATATGATTCTAGGTTGTATCAACAGGTGTGTTGTAAGCAAAACTCGTGAAGTCATTCTGCCGCTCTACTCTGCACTAGTTAGGCCTCAGCTGGAGTACTGTGTCCAGTTCTGGGCGCCACATTTCAAGAAAGATGTGGAGAAATTGGAAAGGGTACAGAGAAGAGCAACAAGAATGATTAAAGGTTTAGAGAACATGACCTATGAAGCCAGGCTTCATGAACTGGGCTTGTTTAGTTTGGAAAAAAGAAGATTAAGGGGGGACATGATAGCGGTTTTCAAATATCTAAAAGGGTGTCACAAGGAGGAAGGAGAAAATTTGTTCCTCTTGGTTTCTGAGGACAGGACAAGGAGTAATGGGCTTAAAGTGCAGCAGGGGAGGTTTAGATTGGACATTAGGAAAAAATTCCTAACTGTCAGGGTGGTCAAATATTGGAATAAATTGCCAAGGGAGGTGGTGGAATCTCCCTCTCTGGAGATATTTAAGAACAGGTTAGATAGACATCTGTCAGGGATGGTGTAGACAGAGCTTGATCCTGCCTTGAGGGCGGGGGGCTGGACTCGATGACCTCTTGAGGTCCCTTCCAGTCCTATTATTCTATGATTCTATGAAAAGCATGAGTGGCGTGGAGAGGGTGCATAAAGAAAAGTTCTTCGAGGTCCCTTCCAGTCCTATTATTCTATGATTCTATATTCTTTGATTCCAAGTCCAGGATATTGAACTTCCCTAAAATTATTCCTAGAACAGAGCTTTTATGAAAAATATCCCATCTTGATTTAAGAATTAAAAGTGATTTCAGAATTATAAGTAATGTAGAGTCCACCATAACCCTTGGTAAATAGTTCCAGTGGTTGATTGCCATGAATGTTTAAAAATGTCTGAATTTGTTTACCTTCACCTTCCAGTCATTGAATCATGTAATATCTTTCTCTGCTAGATTGAAGAGCCCATAAATATTTGTTTCACATGTAGATACTTACTGTAATCAAGTCACCTCTTAACTTCTGGTTTAAGCTAGCTATATAGAGCTCTTTGAATCTTTCCCTGTAAGGCATGTTTTGTATCATTTAATCACTTTCATGGCTTTTCTCAGAACCTTCTCCAATTTATCAATATCCTTCTTAAACTGTGAACTGGACACTGTGTTCCAGCGGTGGTCTCATCAGTGCCAAATACAGAGGTAAAATAATCTCTCTACTCTACTCTAACTCAAGAGTCTCCTGTATATGCATCCCAGGATCACAGTAGCTCTTTTTGGCCACAGAATCATGCTGGGAGTGTGTGTTTGGCTTTTTATCTGTCATGACTCCCAAATCTTTTTCAGGGTAATTGCTTCCCATCCCCATCCTGTAGGTATTGATTACATTCTTTATTTCTAGATGTTACATTTACATTTGGTTGTATTACATTTTTGCTTGTGCACAGTTTATTAAGTGATTCAGATTGCTCGGAATCAGAGACTTGTCCACTACGTTATTTACCACTCCCCTAATTTTTGTCATCTGCACACTTTATCAGTGATAATCTTATGTTTTCTTCCAGGTCATTGATACTGTTAAATAGTGTAGGCCAACTACTGATTCCTGCATGGGCCCACTAGAAACATTCCCAATCAATGACCGTTCCTTGTTTACAGTTACATTTTAAGACATGCTATATTAATTTTATACCATTCTTTTTCATGTGGTACCAAGTCAAAATATATTATGCCAACATTATTTTCTTTGTCAACCAAACTAATAATCTCATTAAAAACAAGTTCGCTTGAGAGGCTATATTTTTTATAAACTCACGTTGATTTGATTAATTATGTTAGCCACCTTTAATTCATGATTAGTACAGTTCCTTATCAGCCTCTGCATCTTGCCCAGGGTTGATGTTAGGTCTGTTAGCCCCTATAATTATCCAGTTTCCCCTTTTTAAAAATTAGCACATTAGTTTCTTTCAGAACTTCCCCAGTGCGCCCACGCTTACTGAAAATCAAAATTAATGACCCAGGAAGCTCCTCAGCCAGTTCTTTTAAAATTATTTGAATCAAGATTTTCTGGAATTGCTGATTTAAAAATGTCAAATTTTGCCAGCTTCAGTTTTACATCTTCCAGAGAGATTAATGCAAGGGAATGAGTGTAAACATCACTGTATGATGAGAACATATAATATTTCCCCCCCAGGTACACCACAGAAATATTTCTGCCATTTCTACATTATTGATAATTCTATTATTCTAGTAAATTACCATTACCAGTATATCTTTTGTTTACAGTATATACTTAAAACTCATTATTATTCTTAACACTGTTGGCCATAGATGTCTCCTTGTGTCCCTTAGCTTCCCATATGAATTTTCTGCAATTCCTAACTTTTGATTTGTATTCATTACTGTCAATCAGCTTACCCCCTTCTTCCATGTGTTGTCTAATTTTTATTTATATGTTTGATATGTTGTATTAGGAATTTATGGACAGGGCTTCAGAGGCACTTCACAATCTACTAAAGCCTTCAAATTTAAGCTTAACAAGACAAAAGTGTTCTTTTGAACACATTTGACACCACTTAAAATGAGAGAGATTCAAATTAAGGCTAATAATCAAACTGTGAGAGCTACAGAACAGGTAATACACCTAAAATTCAAAAATGAGAAGAAACAGACTAACTATATCTTGTTATGGTATTTTGGCTAAAATAACTTTCCATGTGAGTAACACGCAGATGGAGTGTAAATACCAAGTTCAGTTTCTTCAATGTACTGTTAATTGGGAATATATATATATATATATATTTGCTGTGATTAGAAACAGAGTATCTACTCTTTTTTTTTCTTTTTTCCCAAATAGTGTTTGTATTCAGGTAGTTGGGATCTTTTATTACATTGTATTATGGCATTTTGTTTGGAAAAATAATTGAATTTTTGTTTTTTAAAAAATCTTTAGTTTTAAATATATTGAAGGGAATATCAAGTGGGGCTCTGAAGGGATCAGTCCTGGGTCCAATTCTGTTCAATGTGTCAGTCAATGATATAGATAATGGCATGGAAAGTACATTAGGTTTGCATATGAGTGACAGCTTTGTGGATCTCAGCCTGACAGAGCTGGGATACTCAACGGGTAGTCATGAGGGAGCCGCCCAGTAGTGCCAGCATGGGTGGGAGAAGAACGGATTTGTGGGGCAGCTGGTTCATGGCCTGGCTTGGAGTGCCCAGGACTTCTCTGCCACAGCCACCTTCTAGTCAGTGCTGGCCGTGACCACTGAAGCAGCTGGTCCTCTACGTGGCCCCACCAGCTGAGCTGCATAGCAGCCGTCAGAGCTGGAACTGGGGCCACTGTGATGCTGCCTCAGTACGGACAGTCTCACCGTGGCCCTGGCTCCAGCTGCAGTGTGTCTGGGTGCCCACCATGCTGCTCACCCTGCTGCTGCGTGGTAAAATGGATGGGAAGAGAAATTTTGTGTGCACTCATTTAAGCATGCTGCAGTTTCATTTTTTCCCCCTGGCTGGAGGCTGCTGACATGAGGGTTAAAAGCCCACAGCCTTATCCTGTGCTGTCATTGTTTTTTGACAAGAAAGCTCAGTCCATATTTTAGGTTATATTTTGCAATTCCTGGATACTACTTGCCTGTCAGTGGTATAAAAAACATTGGGAGCCACTGGACTCGATGATCTCTCAAGGTCCCTTCCACTCCTATATCATTTATAGTTAGACTGGAACAATCCTAGCTATAGGAAATTGATTAGAGCAGGACAGCTAATCAGGGCTTTAAGATTTGTTCCAGGTTCTGTCTGATTGACTGGGCAAACCACTTAATCTTGCTCTGTTGCAGTTTACTCCTCTGAAAATTGGGATATTTACTTACCTCCTAGGACAGTTGCACATGTTATTTGATCTTCTGATCTAACATGCCATCATAAGGCATAGCATTATGCCAGAACTTTGATAAATCTATTTCCTTTTACAGGTTTTCATATCCCGTAAGAGAAATATGCCTGGGTTCAGAATTCTGAATTGAATAATGGATACAATCCAACTTCTTTCCAAATTCAACTGCTAGTGATTTTCTTCTTCTTAGATTTGGCTTTTGGTTAGATGGCTGTATTGTGTTCAGACTGTAATAATGTTCCTTCTCACTCCAATCTGTTACAGTACTAAGCCGAAGGATGGTGTCTATATCCATGATCCTGAAAATGGAAGCGACGATTCTAATGTGGCACTGGAAAAGCTCAGAGATGTGATTGCACAGTGTATCCTGCCACAGGCTGGTAAAGGTCACTGCTTTTAAGAGCGCTAATGAGCGTTTACCCTGGTTCCTGTTTACCTCCTGTCTTAGCAGTGAAGGAGCATGTCCAGCCTTTCTATTTGATATAGCCAGTCTTAGGAGATAGAGAGCTCATTGTCTGACACAGAGTCCTAAAGGGGCTTGCTTTATAGCTATAAACAAACAAGTTTCCTTGTAGGAAAGCCCAACAGTCTTTGAAATTGTCCCTTTTTATCAGCTGTGAACACAACTCTGACACACATATGAATCCATGCCTCTTTGCCCTAGAATGAGTATCTCTATGGCACCTTATATAAGAAACTGAATTGCAGAAGATTGAGCCATATGCATAACTTTGGTGCAACCCTTTGCTGATTTATGTGTGTAAGGCTGTCTAGCTAAAAGAGCCTTCCAGTGCTTGGGTATCATACATGCCACTGTAGGGGATCTGCGGAGATTGTCAGTTGTGTGGCCATTTAAAGGAAAGCATCACCCTATTGGTCAAAAGGCAGGAAAAGATAGTAGATAGATCTACAAAGCCTGGGTTGCTGCTCAGAGCACTTCCAGGATTTTTCTTGACACACAGTACATTGGACTCCAGGCAGAAGGAGGGATTGAGATGTAGAGACGATCACTGCTGAACTTTCCAATTACAAGAATAGGATTACTCTTTGAAACTCTTTGTAAGTTTGATACCTATGTAATAAAGTGTTAACACTTTGTTTTAGAAGTGCCATGTGGTGCTATTAAAGTGGCTTTCAAAACAAAGTCTCTGTTCCCAGAACCAGTAAGCAGAAGAAAAAGCTAGGAGCATCCTTTGTTTAAGGCGTCAGGAAAGCTGAGCATGTCTATGACAGATCTGTTTTATCTTGTCTTTCATTTAAATAGGAGAGAATGAAGATGAGAAACTGAATGAAGTAATGCAGGAAGCATGGAAATATAATAGGGAGTGTAAGTTACTGCGAGACACTCTACAGAGCTTCAGCTGGAATGGTAAGTGGCACCTTCTCTTAAGACAGAAATTGGTGTCTTATGCAGGGCATGTTTTGAAACTCTTAATAAATCAAATTCAGCCTTAGAGGGCCCCACATGGCTTCAGTTCTGCCAGCAGGATCCTCAATTAAATGTTTTTTAAAACCTATCTAAAATTTGTTTGAGGCTAAGGGTAAAATTGTGAAAAAGTACCTAAGCTCTATTTATGTTTGAATGTGGGTTAGGTTTCTGAGTCACTTGGGTGCTTTTGAAAATGTTATTGTGAAGGATCAAAGCATCAGTTTGTATTCAGCCTATTATTACTATCTGCTTTCCACCCTGCTCCACATTGAAACTGACTTGCTTTTTCTTTAATTTTAGGCAGAGGGTTCACCGATAAGGTGGACCGGCTGAAGCTGGCAGAAATAGTGAAACAAGTTATCGAAGAGCAGACAAACTCTCATGATTCACAATAGCTAGAGCTTCTTAATTTTTTTTTTACCATTTGAGAGTTATTCTTTACATGTAAAATATTTTTATGTAAATTAATAAATCATAATTATTTCATTAAATTTCCACACTGCTTGAAAATGCTGTATAGTTGTAGATACAAAAATCATTGGTACTGTAATATTTTTTTAAAACTCAGTTCCTCAAGTTATATATGAACACTCACATGTTCTGTTAATTCATGAGTCCCTTGCTTGGAGCAAATTATATTGTTAAAGGCTGTTTGTTTTCTTATAATCAGCTGCAGAAGTAGCCTTCCATCTGCTATACAGTCAGCTGCAATGACTAAGTATGTGAATGAGACAACCACAGTTTCTTAGCCTTTTACTCAGTAAGTATTTGAAGCAAGTGCTGTGTAACAAACTTCATGGACACTTTTTCAGTTAAAACCTGCAGCATTGTAGGGACAGCAGAATAACCTTCACTTCTGCCAGATAACCTAAGAGCCACTATTTAGCATTACAAAGGAGATGTGAACTCAAATCCATACACTTGCTATAATTTTCAGTTCTGATTGATAATTCTGTATCTTTTCACCAGCTCCACCTCTTCTTCCTGGCTTCACCAGGACTGGGCTGTTCAATAAGAGATTCCCCTTCATTTTGAAACAGCAGGGGAACACTTTAGTGATTTATGCTTAGTATTTTTATTTTAATGGGGATAGCTCCTTCAGGCAGCAATGCATGGGTGGTTGTTTGTTTTTCCCCAGATGAATAAATGAGCCTGAAGGGTTTTTTCCACCACTTTCCCATTTTCCTTCTGGAATATATAACCCCACAGAAGCATAGAATCCAGCTTTTCCTCCTGCGTGGAAGGGTTCAACCCTTGTCTAATCACAATGCTGCTCTGCAAGTTGGCTAGCAGTCCCCCATCTGTGTCCATCATTGGAGTCCAAGCATATCAACACTCTGATTTTCTCAAGCTTCATCTGCCTAGGAAGGGTTAGAGCTGCCTCCAACTCAAGTCCCCATGGTGCAGCATATTATGAAGGCTATCAAGGGCAAATCCATACACTAGCCTAAAACTTTGGCTCAAAAGTTTAAAAAGAAAAAGATGCTTTTTATTTAAAAAAATCTGTAAATATATCTAGTTTTCTATCTTCTGATACTTTCCTTTCTTTTGAGACTCGTGGAAGGCTTTTTATAGAGATATTTTTGGTACCATACATGTGCAGACATGGAGAACGTAAGGTCTGCAGACAAAAGTGCCAATTCCAGGGCTATTAGGAGTAATTGCTCTTGAACTTTGTTACATTTGATAGCTCATTAGTCTTGGATTTACTTTTAACAACCTGAGCCATAAATCTCCCAGTGTACTCATTATGGCAGTTGGGCCACATTCAGTCTTTTTTTAAAATTAGATTTCCTCTTAAGTCTTTGCTTTGACTGGCTTTGCCTTGTCTGAGACTTTTTGTATGAATTTGTAAACAGTAACTTAGTTTTTCCTACAAGGCATTGTTTCAGTTTGCACTCTTTTCCAGTGCAGACATTATCTGTGTGTTGGCTGTCTTTTGATCTTTTTCAACAGAACTTCCACTGCTTAAGCTTTAAACTGCCTGATTATTGCAATTTTAGGAGAGTCTCCTTACTTAACTAGCACCTTCCCTGACTGCAATGGGAGATTTTTGCCTAAGTAAGAATTGTACCCGTAAGCTCTACATAGAATACTTCTGCACTGACCCATACTAATGAGAGAGGTAGTGAACTAGCAGGCAATGAATAATGGTTTTATGTTTCCATGATGGAAATCTAATTTTGTGGGAAAGTGAACTTAATCTCTGGCTAATTCTGGTCGGTTACTTTTCTGCCCCATAAAAATACATGAGATGGGAATATCTTGCAAAGTTGTGCTCCATAAACATGGATACTGAAGCAGTCCTTCATAAAAAGAGATGACCTCTTCTGACTGAGGCATAAGTACAATACAGTAGAAGAAATGAGCATTCTTCACTTCTCTATAGTAGCAGCTGCAAGACCTCGGGCTTGTACACCTTTCCTTTGCACTAATCGCCAGCTTGTGTCAACATCCATAGTCTTTTAAATAGTCAAGTTTTTTTAAACTTTCCCTCAAAGTCTGTTTTTCCTGGGACAGCTTAATTGTCAATTTTTAAGCATGGTGCATAGAGAATTGAAGAAGGAATTTGTGTTGAAATTTTTATTGGAATTATTGCTAATACCCCACAAACTGCTTTGGAGCTTTATCTTGTAAGCCAGGAAGCCCAAATCTTGCCCAATTAGGCATCACAGAGGCCTCTTTCCAGGAGCCCAAGGCCACGTGGTTGTCCTCCTCTTTAATATGGAATGCTAACCAACAAAATATACTGGTCCCAGAATGCCATGCCAACCAATTTCTGTTTTGTCAGCAAGATGGAATAGAGCATGCAGGGATCTCTTCTCTCATGCATATTGCATATTTAACTAGGCTTGCCATGTGCAAGTCCATTGGCCAAACTTTGGGCACTTCTGCCTTACCCAGTGACCTGGTATTTTCATCTTGCTTTGTTTTGGAAATGAAACCAAGATGAGATTCCCCAAAACCCTTTTGGTGGTGCTATTGTGTACCCATCTCTAAGAAATCACTTCAAACAGTTCCCACAAGACAAAATATCCATTTTACCAAAAGCCTTAGTGTGTGTGGTAGCAACTACTACTAGGAGAAATCCAAACCAGGGCTAGAAAATGGCAATGAAAACCTAGAACTGGCTTATCAATTACTGAGCATTGTGATTTGAGTTCCCTCCTCCATTTATCTGTTTTAATGTAGATAAATAACAGAATGGATTCATGCCATTAGTAATTGCAAGATGGGTAAATTCAAACCTGACTTAGAATTGTTTCAGTATTTTAACAGAACAAGTTTAGAGGAGGAGAAGTCAACTTTTCAAGTCTGTGGTGGAAAAACTGCCTTGTGTAAGTTTTCTTTGATTATATTGTCCATGTACTAATGAGAATAGACTAATTTTTTAAATGTGTGTAGGAAGGAAGGAATTAAAATGACACTAGTTGAAACAGAAGATCAAATGGTTTTATAAAACTGATTAAAAATGATAATTTTGCTTTTTAAAAATTGCCACGTTTTTAATTCAAAATTAAATACACCGATATTATTTAAATATTTTAAAGTCAATTTTTATGTTTTCTGCCCTATATTTGTATTTCTTAGTGGATGAAACTGCCACTATTTTTATCTTCTGTATGCATATTTTTATTTTGCAATATACTTCACCAGTCCTCGTTAGCAGACTGTAATAGTTTTGATATCTTGAAAGTGTCTGATGAATGGAATCCCAAAAAAGAACCCTTCTTTATAAAAAGATAAAGGATAAAGGAAGCTATTTTGGGTGGGATCCTTTTGGTTTGTAAATAAAACTAAAATGAATCTTTGCCTGAAATTTCCTGACCTTTAGGGTTTTTTAAACATATAGATGGCTTATCTTGTGACTTGACTATTTGGGGCTATTAAAAAAAAAAAAGATTAGAATAACTTTTCTAAAAAGAGACCGCATTGGTGTGGAAATAGCAAGATGTAAGTTTTGATATCATTACCTCGTTTATCCTTTGGAACTCTTTCTTGGAGCCCTTCATATGCTATGTTTAAGTTCCGTGTATTAAGAATATTTTCATTTCTCCTGTTCAGTGCTATCTGTAATATTTTAGTTCATTTTGGATCAGTATTAGATTGTAAATATTATTCATCAGTGTACATAAAAATGATTTTACTAAACGTATAAGGTATCTGGCTTTTTTGTTTGGATCAGGGCAGAATTGAAATCCTTCTAGGCCGAAGGGGAGAGGTGGACTATCCTGTGGTCAATGCCGAGAACAAATGGTTTCTTTTTTCTGACTATAAGTCATCTGGCCTCTCTGCTTCGGTTTTACCTGCATGTAGTAGAAGGGAATAGTTTAATCCCTTTGTACCTTACAAGAGTGCTAGAAGGCCTAACTTACTCATGTTTTTAAAGTGTTTTAAGGTAAAATGTCACATTTAAGGGCATATTACACAACTGGGCTAGACAAAGCCTCAGACAAAGAGATACAAATACAGATAGTCTCTTGCTGACAGTAGACAAGGTAACCTACATCTCTTTAGTAACTATGGCTAGGTCTACTCTACACCCCTCTGTAGGATGTAAATAAAGCACATTGAAAGTGCAAATGAAGCGGGGATTTAAATATCCTGCGCTTCATTTGCATAATCACGTTCTGGCCCTGTTTCGAACAAGCGCCATTTTGAAACAAACTGTGGTTGAGACGTGGTTCTGCCAACAGTGGGGTGATTTTTCAACATATCCTGTACTCAAAAAACGAGGAGTTAGGTGGCAGCATTACGATCAATAAAAATACAGCATAGCCCCATCCTCTCAGAGTATACACTCCTCAGAGTTACAAACACATCAGGAACTGAAGTTCATAACCCTGAACAAAGAGTTACAGTTGTTTTTATACAATTTACATCATCAACAGCCCCTTGATTTAATGCAGCTTTGAAACTTAACCGTGCAGCAGAAACATGCAGGTTGGTTGGTTGATTTTTGTAGCTTACACTTACACACAGCACAGTATCTGCTTTTTTTTTCTTGTTTCTGTTGCTGCCTGATGGTGCTCTTCTGGTTCCAAATGAGGTGTGTGGTTCATGGCTCAGTTTGTAACTCTGAGGTTCTACTAAAAGGGTCTCAAACTTACAGGCCAATCGCAGCTGGAGTGATTACACAATCAGGCCCTAGAGTCCTAACAGGTCAGGTCAGGGGTACCAGTCCCTTACCTGCCCATAAGCCTGCTATCTGACCCCCCTTCCCATGGTGCACCACCTCAAGCACACAGCTTTGAGGATCACCAGGGGAGAGTGGCTTGGTGCCATGCAATGACAACAGTTGCACCCCTCGTGGCAGGAGCTGCTGATGGAGCAGAGCACACTGGGCAGGTGCACTCACTCTACTGAGCATCACTTCCTCCGTGGCTCCTGCCGTTGCAGGTGGGCATGGCTGTTGCTGCCGTATGGCACTGGGCCCACACAGGCATCCCCACAGCTGCATGCTTGGGAGGATGGACTGCTATGCAGGGAGAGAGCAGAGCAATGGCAGGAAGGAGAGTTGTTTTGGGCCAGTAATGGATTGGGAGTCCCGGGCCAGATTGCGTAATCATTTCAGCTGCAACTGGCTGAAGGCCAGGAGTTTGAAACCCCTGTTCTAATGTATATCTTACTGTAGAGAAAGTTGATATATTTCTACTATGGTAACTAGGACTCCATTTAATATTTTAAAACTCATGTCTCCTTTTACATTTGGTGATCCCATGCTGTACGGATATTCTTGGAAGCAGAAACTAGTTATTCTTATTTTCTTAGAGTTGTATAAAAGGAAAACTTCCTAAGGCACTGCATTAAAGAAAATGGAACAAGCCAAGGAAAGCATTGCATGGTTTGAGTTCGCTTTGCTGAGATTTCTAGCTGGAATGTGAACGAGGAGTTCCGTGCACCAAATAGCTGGAATGATGTTGCTTTTATAAGAACCTTACACAAAATGGGAACTGTCCCGAGATTTCTCATAGAATTTTGTTCAACCTTTCAGCAAAGGAACCTATACTATAAGACTGGTAGCCTCTTGGGCAGTTAAGTATCTCTTATGTCACAGTGTTACAGTCTGCATTAGATATCATTCTGCTATCTTCAGGATCCTGGTAGAATATGGCAGGGAAAAGGTATGTTCTAATTGTCCTTGATGCTACACCTTGACACAAACCCGACTAAAAGCTCATCAGTAAAAAATTCTTAATAAATTTCTGCACTCCTGAAATTGACAGGGAGTAAAAGGGAGGATTCAGTTCTAAGAGCTCCACACCCAGGAAACCAACTACCAAATGGGACCAAACCCCCTTCCCCCCTACTAATGTGTCTTACCCTGTGTAAAAATTTTACACAGGTAAAGCTCGTAATGTTAGGTCAGCCCTCCTTATCAATGAAAGAGAGAGATGCACAGTGGTTGTTCTCCCCAGATAACAATTATTTACACTGGACTTGATAATAAAAACTTTTGTTTATTAAGTATAAAAACAGGATTTAAGTGGTTGCAAGTGAAAACAGATCCAAGTCACTAAGTTAAAATAAACAGATAAGCTAATTCAAATCCATTAAGAAACTTGTTACAGGCAAATTCTTACCTTCATGGTGGTTCTTCATATTTCTACCTTTACATTCAAGAATGATACATACACAAAAATAGGATATACAGATCTAGCAGCCTGTGACATTAAAATAGATTACATGAGTTATTCAAAGCATCTTTGAATTATGCATATTGATACTCATAAGCCAATTCTCATAAAGCATCGGGGGGGGGGTTGCATAACCCAGTATACGCTAGCTAGCAGAGAGTCTATATGAGTCCTTATTTACACTTACAGATGCAACATATCCCATTAGCATCAATTACAAAACCTTCCTGCTCCTCTCTGCATAGGGCAACACATGGCTGCATTCTAAGCCCTTCTGAGCTTCCTGCTGTAGAATGTTCACATTCAAAGATGTACAGAGAGAAACAGACACTGTCTGGGCCATTCCATTGCAGCAAAAATTTTGGGAGTAACATTTTAAAACTCTTTTCCTCTTCACAGCACAGGAGCCTATGTTTCCTTTCACAATAGAGAGATGTGTTAGTGTTTCAGTGCTGTATAATACAGCCAGATAGGCGTAGTATTGCCCTGTCAGAGAGCACCCGGGAAAATACAGAGGTGACACGCCCATAAAAATGTATGTGAAAGTTGGCAGGCAGCTATGGTACTCCAGGCAGATCTAGCTGGTGATACGCAAGGAGAATGTGGGGAAGATAACTTGACCATTAAAATGTTTAGAGGCAAGAAGTTTGTAAGGGGGTACGGGCAGTGGCTAGAATTGGAAAGAGGGACATTACCTGTGTCTTTTTACGATGCAGGACTGTACTAGGTGAAGGAGCTGCTCTGTGATTTAATTACTGCTGAGTTAACACCCCCCACCAATTACCTTGTCTGCACCAGTTTGGGCAGCAGCGACCATAAATCGGATCCAGAGAGCATTCAGTTTAGTCCAGTGTTAATACTGATGAGTCTGATGGCAAGGGATGCAGTGCTGGGACAAGGGCTGCTCCTCAGACTGGGTATCTCCGTGGTGCTACTGGGGCCTCTTGTGCCCAGCACAGACGGTCGTTCTCCTCCACCGCCAGGGTTTGCTTCCTATGAAGTGATAGTTCCAAGGAAGCTAGCGCCAAAGGAAGGCAGCACCACTCAGGATGAGGTGTCCTATGTCATCAAGGCAGAAGGAAAGAACCGCGTTGTTCACCTAAAGCAGAAGAAAGGATTCCTAGTAAAAAATTTCCCAGTCTTCACTTATGATAATAAAGGCCAACTGAGGGTAGAGCAGCCCCATATTCCAGAGGATTGCTACTATCATGGACATGTGGAAGGTACCCCAGAGTCACTTGCGGCCCTCAACATTTGTTCTGGACTCAGAGGGTTTCTCCAGATTGGGAGCTTAAGCTACGGCATTGAACCTGTGGAGAATTCCTTTACCTTCCAGCACCTTCTGTATCGATCTGATGAGACGGAACCCATGCCTGAGACATGTGGATTGACAGCCACAGAAATAAAATATAAAGCTTCTGAAATGGAGAGTAGACTCATTCCCAAAGCGGAAGCATTTCATCCTTGGTCGCATACTAAGTATCTGGAGCTTTTTATAGTGGTGGACAATCTGCGGTTTGAATATTCGGACAGAAATATATCTAACATTTCGATGCAAGTTGTTGACGTCGTCAATATGATAGATGAGCTTTTTTATGCTCTTCGTCTTCGCATACTACTCACTGGCCTAGAGATTTGGACAGAAAACAACCCTATCACAATTACACACAATATAAATGAGGTTCTTTCCGATTTTAACGTTTGGAGAAAACGTCATCTTTATCCACGGGCATCACATGATGTAGCACACCTGTTTGTATATTTGAACTTTGGAGCAAATATTGGAAAAGCGTACTTGGGTGGTGTCTGTGATAAGCAACGGGCAGCAGGTGTCGAAGCATTCATGCATGGCCCTTCCAAAGAGTTTGCAGTGCTGGTGGCCCATGAGCTGGGACATAATATTGGTATGGAACATGATGACAGAGACTGTGTGTGTGTCAATGACAGTACCTGCATCATGAATGCGCATCGTACCCAAGTCCATCAATTCAGTAACTGCAGTGCTAGAGACTATTATGATCTAATAGTGTCAGGGAAAGCACACTGTCTGAATAACATTCCAGACATTGAAAAACTATTTCATCTGCAGCATTGTGGCAACTTAATAGTAGACCCAGGGGAAGAGTGTGATTGTGGCTCCAAAACACAATGTAAAAAGGACCCTTGCTGTGATCACACATGCCAATTGAAGCCAGAGGCTCTTTGTGCTGTTGGACAGTGCTGTCGCAATTGTAAGTTTCTTCCAGAAGGAAGAACATGCAGACGGAAGAGAGGTGAATGTGACCTGCCTGAGTATTGCAATGGGACGTCTCCGTGGTGCCAAGAGAATGTTTATGTGCAAGACGGGACTTTATGTAGTGATGATGGCTACTGTTTTCATGGGTACTGCTCTACTCACAGTTTACAGTGTCAGTACCTCTTTGGCAAAGCAGCAAGGGCGGCTCCAGAAAGTTGCTTCAAAGAAGTGAATACAAAAGGGGATCGGTTTGGCAACTGTGGGGGAGACGGAGGAGAATTTAAGTTTGAGAAATGTAAACTGGAAAACGTATTGTGTGGAAGGGTGCAGTGTGTGAATATAAAAAGGATACCTCGGTGGGAGGATCATACAACCATAATTCAAACTCCGGTGGACAATCTCTGGTGCTGGGGTACAGACTTTCACTTGGGGATGGAGCTCTATGATAATGGTGTAGTAGAAGATGGCACCAAGTGTGACACAAACAAGATTTGTTTTAATCATACATGTGTCAATGAGACACAAGTGCTGACATCAAACTGTACTGCAAAGAAGTGTAGTGGAAGAGGGGTTTGCAACAGTAACGGGAACTGTCACTGTAATAATGGCTGGGCCCCCCCGAACTGTCAGTTTGCTGGTTTTGGAGGGAGCATTGACAGCGGACCCCCACCACTTACCAAAATTGGCCTCTTTAACTTTATCGGTACTATTTTGGGCATAACCATTGCTGCTGCTATCATCACAGCAGGTATTGCTGTCATCCTTAAAAAGCCTGCATCAAAAATGATTCGCAGAGCAGCTGAAAGAATTGGGCAAAGAAATCCAACTACCAGGAGCCAATAGAAAAAAAAGAGTCAGAATTAGCTTCCAAAAACCAGCGCAAAGTGGGAAGTCTGTTGTTTCTCAGAGCAGCTGTGGAAATTTCTAGGGATCCCTGCGAGAGAATCAATGGGTATGGATGATTACTTTCAGTAGGACTCATGTACATTTACTTTACAGATGCACACACACACAGGCGCACACACTTTGGATGATTTGTTCTGTTTTTTTTTTAAATATTTAAATAAATTTGGTCTTGGAATCAACAGCGAAATGGTCATTGAATTTTAAAAAGGGGATTTAAATCTATTAACTTCCTCCTCCAACCAGGCCCTAAGTAATTCACAACTTGTCTGTGCCAAGGTTTGAAACTGAGCTCTGACTGGAATGCAGGACCCTCGCTTCCCACTTCATTGCCAATGTGTCTTTTTAAGAAATATTGTTGAAGTTACTTAAAACCTGGCAGAGGAGGGGATGAGATCCAACTGGGACTTTTAAAAACTAAGTATTTAGGGCTAAGGTTTTGCCATTTTTTTCTTTACAACCCCCTGGCTTTCCCCTCAGCAGACTGGAAATATTGTCCCCTTCAGCAAAAGTCATCTTTCCAAGTGGTTGCCATCTCTCCTTTTTTTCAGTGAGATAGAAGCCCCAGGCAGCCCTCGGTTAAGATGGCTGCCATTTCTCTATAGGCTGTGATGAAAGATCGTAGGCAGTCTTTCACAGAAATGGACATTGTCCAAGTCCCCCATTGTTACCCGTGCGGCTAAAGTTCTGCTGCCCAGAGGAAAGGGGGTGGCCTCATATTCTGTGAGGCAGTGGAAAGGGGCACTGTGAAAAAAGTTTGTGGGGTGGGGGGAAAGGGAAGACCATCGGTATAGGTGCATGCACGTGGCAGAATACGATGAGTGAAGGAAGAAGCCAAAGAGGGTTTCCAGAGAGTGTCAGAGGGGAGGTGGGTTATTGATAAAAGCAACGGCTAGAGAGGGATAAATAGCAGTGACTCCCATCCTACCCCACCCCAGGGTATAGGAGAGGGCAAGTGGAGTTCCCTCCAAACAGCAAACAGTGTGGGAGAGGGCAATTCAGTTTGAATTTTGAATCCCACAGAAAATCACTCAACGGTCTGAAGGCAGACCAGGAAAAAAAAGTAGTTTTGTTTTGATTCATGACTCTTCAAAGTGACAGTCACAAGCCTCTATTTCAGGCTTCCCCAGCCCTCCCTGCCATGTGTCAGAATAGGAGCTGCTGGCAGCCATCCAGCGCCCCATTCTCCAAATTGTCCCTTTCCAGCACATCAAAGTGTTTTGCCAAACACGCATACCTCAATTTTCTTAAGGAAAAGGCAGCAGTGGATGACTGACAGCCATGAATGGTTGGGATGTGTGGTCTGGGATTTTACAGGAATTAGGGCGATGCTAAATGCTAGATACCATTTAATTTCTGTCCTATGGTTGTGTCCCATATGCCAGGTGCAGCAATATTTTACCCGCGACATAACGAGGACGTCTGTGAATGGTAGCTTGAATAGCTACATCAGTGCCTCTCAGAGATGACTCATGGAACAGGGCATAGCTAGGCTTTCATGGCGCTGGGTTCTGGCATCACTTGGAAAAGTGTCACCTAGCCCTTTAACGGCCAGGGTATTCTGAACAGGCAAGCCCTAAAATCTGTCTCTGCACAAGCCCCACCTGGCGGCATTCTAAGTCCTCCTCTACCCAGAGCCGTGGGCCGTAGAATGTTCACATTCAAAGAGGAAGCAAAACAAAC